CTAACCCTTAACCTAACGCTAAACCTAATCCTAAACCTAACCCTAAACCTAACCCTTACCTTAACTTGAATCGGCTTGCTTTCAAAACGCTATTTAAAGCACCCTTCTTTCTTCACGCTCGCTGTTGTTGCCCTGCTGATGATGTCAGCGACGCGGTTTAATCGGGCGCGCTTTAGTCGAGCGCGGTTTTGTCGTGCCACGGGTCTTCACAGGTGCCAGAGTGCTGGAAAAAGGCCTGTAAAAGGCCTAAAAATGCCCCCCAAATGGCCCGAAAAACAGCTGGAAACTCCCAAAAAATAGGCATGTGCACTCCAGCCAGCTGGTCTTCTGGTTTCCAGTGCTCCAGCATGTGCACATGCATGCGCATGCACGCACCTTCTGGTTTGGGCACTGAGTGCCAAAAAAGTTCACCATAATTGACCTAGACTTATATACAACACCACTTCATAGTGCTTTACAGCCCTCTCTAAGCACTTTACAGAGTCGGCACATTGCCCTCAACAATCTGGGTCTTCGTTTTACTCATCTCAGAAGGATGGAAGGCTGAATCAAGCTTCAGCCAGTTAAGATCGAACTCCTGGCCCTGGGCAGAGTTAACCTGCAATACTGCATTCTAACCACTGCGCCACCACAGCTCTTATACAATTCTACAAGGAGTTCCCCTTCAGTTTTCACTAATCCTGCTCAAAACTGGTTCTTGAGAAGCTCAAAAGGAGACCCAGGTGCCACACCCATCTCGAAGCCACAGGTACATCTCTTTATCTGAGTCCTGATGTGGGTCGCTCCAGCATTTCAGATTCATGTCTCTTCTCGGTTCCTATCAAAGGCAGATGCTCCTTCTGTTCCTTTCCTTAAACTCTGAATGGTTTCTCTCTCTATAGCAGGAATGGAGACATCAACAAATGGTTGTAACATTTCCATTTTTCATCAAAGTGGGAATGCATTTTGCAGATTGAAGAGAGCTTTCCAAAGGGACTACTTTGTGAAGATACAGACAATACGTTTAAGGATTAGGTACAAAAACAGACAAGCCCAGCCAATCCTTCTGTATGTTTCCATGGGCTAATTTGCCTGAGCTGGATGGAATTGGTAGAGATGTGCTAGATTCACAGAATAACAGAACAGTATAACGGAGTTGGGAGGGATCTTGGAGGTCTTCTAGTCCAACCCCCTGCTTAGGCAGGAAACCCTATACCATTTCAGCCAGTTGTCCAAACTCTTCTTAAAAGCTTCTAGTATTGGAGTTATCATTACTATCATTCTGGTCATTGAGTATCCACTGCAGGATGAAGGCCTCTTCCATATGTTCCCAACCAATATGGCCCTGAGCTTTCTTTTGCCAATTGGGCAAAATACCTCAATACTTGCTGATGTTGTTGCTCCATCCTGTTTTAGATCTCTGTTGTGGATGCTTTTGAATAGAATAGAGCTGGAAGGGACCTTGGTGGTCTTCTAGTCCAGCCCTCTGCTCAAGCAAGAGAACCTATACCATTTCAGATAAGTGACTGTCCAGTCTCAAAAACTTCCAGCAATGGAGTGCCCATGATTTCTGAAGGCAAGCTCTTCCACTGGTTAATTGTCCTCACTGTTAGGAAGTTTCTCCTTAATTCCAAGTTGCTTCTCTCTGCTTTGGTTAGTTTCCAGCATTGGTTTTTTTTGTTCTGCCCTCAGGTGCTTGGAGGATAATTTGACCCCCTCTTCTTTGTGGCAGCCCCTAAAATACCAGAATACTGCTATCATGTCACCCCCATTCTTCTTTTCTTTAGACTAGCCGAACCCAAAACCTTTTTAATGAAGTGGAATCCATTCTATGATTTCCTTGATCTACCTGCCATCCGTTCTTCTTGCTATGCCACCAGCCCATTTCCCAGTGGTGGGATTCAAATAATTTACCAACCAGTTCTCTGCCCTAATGATCAGCTGGTTAGGCGGGCCTCGGTGGTCATGTGATCATGTGGGTGTGGCCAAGTCAACGTCACTCAGGTCGATGGGCACTTCACCTTAGTTGTTACAATGGTAACAAGGGTTAACTGGAGAGGCAGTTTCTGTAATCAGGGCAATAAAGATTAGGCTAGAAACAACACCAGAATGTTTCCTTCCTGCTTTCCTTACAGGATTAGCCCTGTTAGAAATACACCGAAGGGAGGAGNCGCCCTTTTGTCGAGCACGCTTTAGTCTACCGCGGTTTTGTGGTGGAACCATCGCATGGATTAGATGACATTTGGAGATGGGCTCATTTATTTATTTTATTTTAATCGGTCCTCGCTTACCTCGCAGGGATCTTAGGAGGATTAAAAAAGGACCCAGATTTGGGTGGATCCCAAACTATCATGTTCATTGGTTGATATTTGGGGGTCGGGGAGAGGTTTACAGGTAGCCCTCGACTTACGACCACCATCGAGACCAAAATTTATGTCGCTAAGTGAGACCGTTGCTGAATTTCATCCTGTTTTACGACCTTTCCCGCCACCGTTGTTAAGCGAATCCTGCCGTTGTTAAGTTGAGAACGCGGTGGTTCAAAGAATCTGTCTTCTCCTTTCGAATTTGCTTGCCAGTAGTTTACAAAAGGGGAATCACGTGTCCCCCGGGACATTACGACCGTCATAAATATGAATCAGTTGCCAAGCTTCCGGATTTTGATCAGGTGACCATGAGGATGCTGCAACGGTCGTAAATGTGAAAAAACAGTCGCGAGTCACTTTTTTTCAGCAGCGGCGTAACTTTGTACGGTCGCTAAATGAATGGTTGTAAGTTGAGGACTAGCTGCATTGTGTTTTTAATTCACCCTCACCTGCCTCAAGGGGTTTTGGGGAAGGATAAAAAGCCCCAGATTCGAATGGATCACTACATTGGACAGTATTGGGGTGGTTTTTATATTTTTAATTCACCATTGGCCTACCTCGCAGGGTTCTTGGGAGGATAAAAAAAAGCATAGGGGAAGCCTGAGGGTGGTGAGAATGATTTTCTGCATGCATGCAGTGGACGGCAGCTCAGCATGCTTTCTGGGAGGCTTCCTGTCTAGAATGTCCTTAAACGTACGCCATGCTCCTTTAATTCGTCTTTGTGATACTTCCCTTCCTTTTCTTCTTCCTTTTTTCTCTCTCTTCTCCTTCCCTTCTTCCTCCGTCTTCCTTGCGCTGCTTCGAAGGCTGCTAAACAGATCAAGGACAGGTAGGCTACCCCTGGGACACACCTGGCCACTAAAAGTCAGCTTTTGGCATTGTTGGTGGGGAAAGAGAGGCATGAAATGTCTTTAAAATGGCTCTGAAATATCTGGACTTCAATTCTGGGAGTTGAAGTCCAGACATCTTAGAATTGCTAATTTGAGAAACTCTGATTTCTAGTCCAAATTGAAGCTGGCCCTCCTCAAAGCAGGCAAGGCAAAGTGCACTCTGCCCATGCCCCAGCGTCCCCTTGACTTTCCCATCGTCTCGACCAGCTGCCAGCCCATCTTCCCACATGTGTGGGTGGTTGCTTGATGGGGCAAGTCACTCTTCGCGTGCTCAGAAGTCCTTGGCTTTTGCCCTGGAAGCCAGCCGACGGTGCAGAGTTTAGCCTCAGAACTCTGCACATGCTTTGTAGACACGTTGGCCGACAAGATTTCTGCAAGGCTGGATGCGGGCGCGGGGTTCTTTGCATGCCGCCTGCTCTGACCCCTCTCGCTGAGCTGTGAAAGACGCATTCGTGGGCGGGCAGGGTGGAATTGCATGGAATTGCCTTTCTAACCCGCCTCGGCTTTCCCTCCATATAGTGTGACGATGGCGCCGGCCTTCCGCCTCTCGCTCAAGGCTAAAGTCACCGACAACATGAGCCACTTGATGGTGGATTTCGCCCAGGAGCGCCAAATGCTGCAGACTCTCAAATTTCTGCCAGGTGACTTAGAAAATGTGATTTTTACTTATACAGGGGAGGGTAGATTTTTTTTTTCCCAGCCGAAGATTACCAAGTCCATTGTTGGTTTGGGTAAGTGGTGAGATTCAAATAATTTAACAACCGGTTNAATTTTATGGTTGGGGGTCACCACAACATGAGGAACTGTATTAAAGGGTCACGGCATTGGAAAGGTTGAGAAGCACTGTGACAGTTTGTTTTGGAAACTTGGGAAAACTGAAACTTACATGAGGATGAAAAGACCGGGGAATCTTAGAACTGGCTTTTTACTAGTTAGTGCCAATATGGTGTATCTAAATAAATTTGTCCTTTGAGAAAATGGAATGCCTCAGAGTTCAATTTGTGATGGATGCATTACTTGGAACCTGACACAGAGGTTTTTTCCCCCCCTTCCCTTACTTTAAGAGCTGGGCAAACAATTTTCTATCCTAGGCGATCTGATCTGAGCACTATTCTGTGCCAAAAGGAGGGCCTTCTCATGTCCGCCGCTCAATGAAAAGCTTGCATAGACTGAATAGCAATCGATGGTGTATTTTGTTTTAACCTCGCAATAAAACCAGACATGACGGAGGTCTATCCCCTTTGCCATCTCTTATGGTGCAGCTTTTGGTAATGAAAGGATTGCAGTGCTGCCTGATTGATCCATGACCATTGATGACTCAAATTTTAGTCAATATATGTTAAGATATTTGAATTTAGCAGCTGGAGCAGTGGGGTTTGGCAGTGAGCCAGAACACCGAGTTGTGGTTGATTGGTTCGAAAGCGCTGGGTCGTGCGTGAGGCAATCTTGCGCTGGGATTGGTTGCTATGGGTGTGGAGGGGAATTTCCCCTTTTTTTTCTGTGTCCCCTGTATGCCCTGTGAATTACCTCTTGATGCTCCTGCTTGCCTATAGTTTGCTGTATAAGTATAATCTTTATTATCATTGTACTTAAATACAACAAAATTGGTTGTATATATTGATGTAAAATATATTCATTTATATAAAACTAAAATTTATAAAATTTAAAATTTATATAAAAAGTTCCTGTCAAAGTCTCTGCCTTCATTTGGACACCTGCTATGCAATTCCTGACAATACATACATACTATCAGTGTTCCAAATAGCATCCAAAAGTAAATCAGAGTCCGAGGCAAAGTAATGCTCAAAGTTCCAATTTATTAAGAGAGCCATATTGGCACAGCTGGGAAAACAGAATCTGAAAACTTCCTGGTTTTCCCCACCCAGTTGAAAGTTCAAGATCTTGCCCTCACATGCACAAGTCCATCACATGGTCCAATCTCCCACTGCCATGCTGTCAGTTTCACACATCCAGTTCCTGTCAGGTGCAGAGATACAGAGAGAAAGGATGACCTTGGCTTTCTAGAAAGAATTTTGTTATGGCTACATCGCATCTCACTTCTACAATCCCCTCTCCCATTTTCCCACCATAGAAAATGCATAGTAGAATAATAGTGTGGCAGGCCAAAGATCCAAAAGAAAAGATGGCTGAAGGCCTGACACATACATACATACATACATACATACATACATACATACATACATACATACATACATACATACAATAACTGTTCCTCCAGACAATTATGCAATTTGATGCTCAATTGATATTTTCAAAGCTTCATCACACCTGGGCTCCATGTCTGTTGCAGTTCAACTACCTACCAGTAGGTAGCATCAGATGGCATGCTCTGCATTCTTATTGAGATGATCAATACAGACAAAGGAGTATGATTTCCCTTGATCTTGGCTTAGCCTGTTGTGTGAACCTGGCTCTCCTATGTTTGTGAATCATGATTTAGATTTTAATATGCAAATTTCACCCACTGATCTTTATTATGATGATTGTAAGCTGCCCGAGGTTACCTTGAGGTAAGATTGGCGGCCTATAAATTTTATGAACAAAAATTAAACAAAGGTAGGATTTTAAAAAGTCATGACTTAGTACAATGTGTGGCCACGATCCCTAGACGCAAAGAGGAGGTCAGCTCAAAGAATTACCGGTATATGAACTGCATCTTCTAAGTATCCATAGCTGTTCTGACCCCTCTCGTCCCACACCAACACACACTCCGAGCCAGAGATAAGTTACGGCCTAATGACCACCAGCTGAGTGCAATTACCTCCTGTACTTGCGCAAGTGTTCCTGATGCCTATTAGCTCTTCAGTGCCGGGCATCCAGGAACAACTCCCTTGGCTCCTCCCCACTGCTCCAATGCATGATGTCAGGAGCACACTCCCTTGCCTCTTCCCCACTGGTCCAAGGCTCAGACGCCTCCTGGTGGCCAACCAGCCTCTCTGCACCCTGCTCGGAGTCGGAACCCTGTCCAGGGTCCTCCACATCCTCCAGAGCCGACTCATAGGGCCCCTTGCTGTCAGAGTCTGGTGGCAGCTCCAACGGCTCCTGCTGGGCCACAACACATAATATCTATATCTCTATCATCTCTATCTCTATCTCTATCTCTATCTCTATCTCTATCTC